ACCCGGAAGACGAATAAACTATAATTCTGACTCTGGCCGTGGAAGCCTACGATTTCATTTGACCAACCTCTACAGGGAGGTTATATTCCGCAAAACCTCAGAGTTCTCCAATCTTCGCTCTAAAGTTTCATCTCTACTTTCTTCGCTCACCTTCCTCTCTAGTTGTCGTGATAATAACTTGGTTCCCAATTTTCTTGTTCTAAAACATCACATTTCCTCTTTATCTTCTTCCCGAATTCTACATCGAGCCAGCCTATCTTTACTTCGTGAACGGATTCAACATATTCGAAAAATCCCTTAATTTTCAATCCCAAAAACTTTTTAAGCTTCATCTTGAACTCTCCAGTATTATTAGTGTCGATGATTGGTCACTTTTAGACCGCATTTCCTATCATCAAGCCGATAAAATCCTTCTTCTAAGCAACGAAACTCACAAAAAGAAATTCCAATCCCTTGTATCTAAGAAAAAATCACATTCCACCACCTCTACTTCTCATTCACCTCTTACTAACACCGTCGTTAATCTTTCTTCTCACCAATTAACAAGTGCAGAAAGCAGCCTTCTATCTAAAGGTCTTAATTTTGCTATCACTCCTTCCAAAATTTCTACCGAAGAAATAGTTTCAAATGTGGAAGCGGCACTCCGCACAATTCCCAAAATTCCAGCCGACCGTATCCGCTTTGACGTCGCTAAATGTCTTGATACAGCCAAAATCCCTACTTCCAATATATCTCGTGAGGAATTCATAGCTCTCAAAAATCTCCGTTCTCTTTCTGATATAATAATCCTTCCTGCAGACAAAGGTAATGCCACAGTCATCCTGGATACTCCTTCCTACATAGAGAAAGTAAACGACTTACTTAGGGATACATCCTGTTATAATACAATTTCTCGAGACCCCACTCCTAGAGTCGAACGCGAAATTTCTCATGCCATCAAACAATCCGATCTTTCCGATGATGTTAAGAAGTCCATAGTTCCGAAAAACTCCATCTGTCCCAGAATTTACCGGAATTAACCGGAAATTATATTAGCATACAACAGCACAAAAATCAGTGTTGATATCGTAGATAAATTATGCGCACAATATGATGTAGCACGTTGTAGTAGAAGATGACCTATGGTTGCTTTGTACAGCCTTTTAAATGGTATAGCAATAAATTCCTTTGTTATTTACAATTGTAACATTCCAAATTCCACAAAGACCCTACGAGAAGTTTTGACAAATTTAGCATTAAGCCTTATGTACAACCAACACCTAGAAAAAAATGTGGTACCTACCCAAAGTAATCCTATTCTGAGCATTAAGTTTCCCTCTCACCAAGTCGACAATTTTGGCGATCTGATGATTACATTTCGCCAAATATTCCTGTAAAGCGGTAGTTCCGCGATCAATAGCCACTGTGACCTCTGTGGTCCAGAACGTGCATCCCACACTTTGGATACACTGCCCTGGCCACTTTAGCACCCATTGCTCTCTGGGCCTTAGCGGATAGTCAATTATGGACGATTTCACCTGAAACAAAAATAATTATATGTGATAACAAATATTGTATGTGGTATATTGTACTAACCATATTATGAACGGACTTCTTCATGTCAGCCTCAAGTTCGACCAGCCATTTTTCTACTTGTCCTCTTGCAAGAGCAGTTTGGATAACATCTACCAGCGGTACTATTTCATCTTCGCTTGATTTCATATGTGTTACATCTAACTCTTCGGTAAATGTTAGTTTTGCTATGCCCTCGAAACACTTCTTAAGATGTGGCTGGACTCTTAAAAAGATTTTTGAAATTTTGTTAAATTAAGGTTAAAAATTTATTAAAATAATTTCAATGGTATTTGTTATATTTATGGGGATTCACCACAGATTTCATTTAATACAATAAAATAATTTTTTTTTAATCCGTTTCCTTTTTGGAAATTGTTATAAACATAGTTATTGAAATTTTAATGAATTAAAGTTCAAATCAAATTTTTAATTTTATTAAGACTTTATTAATTTTTATTGAAAATGATTAAAGATTCCTCAAAATTTTATATGGATTTTATTAAAATTTTATTGAAATTATATCTAAATTGTCACAAAATTTGCGTTTTGTGATTTTAAAATCATTATTTTAAAATTTTACTGAATTAGAGTTGAAATTTTATTGAAATGTTTTTAAATTTTATATTTTATTTAAATTTTATTTAATTTTTATTGAAAATAATAAAGATTTCCTAAAACTTTAAACGAATTTTATCAAAATTTTGTTAAAATTATATCGAAATTGTTTAACAAATTGTGTTATGTGACATTAAAATTGCGATTTTTGTGAATTATTGTAATTCATTTGTATTCCGTATTGTATTCCAAAGTTGAAACCTTTGTAAATTTTACATTTTATTGAAATTTTTATTGAATTGAAATCAATTTTTATGGAAAATTATTAAAAATGTCTTGAAATTTTAAACGAATTTAATCAAAATTTTGTTGAAATTATATCGGAATTGTTACAAAGATTGCATTGTTTGATATTAAAATTATTATATTCAAATTTTATTGAAATCTTTTCAAATTTTTCATTTTATTAGAATTTTACTTAATTTTTATAAAATTTTTTTAAAGATTCCTTTAACTTTTATAGGATTTATATTAAAATTTTATTGAAATTGTATCGAAATTGTTAAAAAAATTGCCTTCATGATATTGCAATTGTAGCAATATGCATTTTTCTTGAATAGAAGTTGAAATTTTATTGAAATCATTTAAAATTTTACATTTACAATTGAAATTTTATTTATTAAAAATTTGTTAAAATTTTAAATGAATTTTATCAAGATTTTGTTGAAATTATATAGAAATTATTACAAAAATTGTGTTTCGTGATATTGAATTTTTTATGTTCAAATTTTACTGACTCATAGTTGAAATTTTACTGAAAAAGTGTTGTTTTATTGACATATTTCTATATTTTAGCTTTTATTAAATTTTTTTGAAAATTATTATTAATTTTACTTTAAATTTTTCATTTTTTCATTGAAATGTTGAACTCTGCCTCCGGTAAGTGCTGGGTGGATTGAGTATCTTAGTAAATGCGGGTGCCGGTCCCAAACCCGGATAAAGGAGGAGGGTTGCGGCGATGGGCTAGCAACTCATCCCTTGTCAAAAGAAATGAAAGCTAAAAATTCCGACCAAAGGCCTAGGAACACAAAAGATGGATCAGAACAAAAACGACTAATGCAACGGAAAACGAAAATGATATTGGCTACATGGAATGTACAAGGAACCAAACAAGCAGAAGTATTCAAAGAATTAGCGGAAAGAAAAATAGATATATGTATTCTCACCGAGATCAAGAAAACGGGAAAAGGAAATAAAGGGATAGGCGAATATATACAGTGGAGTGAGTTAAGATAACAGAGCTTAGAAAGGAGCCTCTAGAGCCATTCGAAAAATCTTAAAAACAATATTAAATCGTGGTAAATGAACAAGTGCTAATACTGAAAATGAAAAAAACTGGGCACAACATCGTGATTGTCAGAGTGTATGCCCCAAATGAAGATACAGATCCAGAAAGTAAAGACAATTTCTAAAACAAGATGAATGAAATACTCTCTAAACTTAAAAAAGCTGTGAAATCTTTATACTGGGAGATTTAAACGGCAGAGTAGGGAGAGAAGAAAATAAGAGTGTCGTAGGATGATATGAGGAAAAATTATCCAATGGCAACGGAATGCACCTTTTGTGAAACGATGTCTCTCAAAATTATGAATATCAGCTCAATGGGAAGGTTGTACGGTCGAATAATAAAAGAAAGAATAGAATCAGAATACAAAGACATAGAAGAACAAAATGGATTTGGTGCAGGAAGATCGTGCACTGATGGTATATTCGTTCTGCAGCAGGTAATCGAAAAATGGAAGGCAAGGAATCTATCTACTCACATATTATTTGTAGATTTAGAAAAGGCATACGAAACGGTACCTTTAAAACAAATATTTCGAAAATTGATGTTAGTAGGTCTCAGTAGAGAATATGTGGATGCTATCGCAAATATATACAAAAATGCAAGAAGTTTCGTTAAAGAAGGAATCTTTATATTTGAGCCATCAAAGAAGACGAAAGGATGGACAGAAAACGATTGCGGTCGAAATGCGAGAAGCGGCAGAGGCTATAGTAACCTCGAATTAAAATTCTGTTGAATTGATGTTGGTGTTTTATTGAAAAATTGATGTTTTGTAATAATCTTTAGATTTTGGTAAAATTTTATTTAATTTTTATTAAAAATTATTCAAATCTCTTAAAATATTAGAGATCTTTTATTGAAATTTTGATGAAATTATATAAAAATGGTTTTAAAATTATTTTTAAAATTGTGTTGACGTTGTACTGAAATGGTTTTAAAATTTTATTTAATTATAATCGAAATATCCTTAAAAAGTTGACATTTTATTGAAATCTTTTCAAATTTAAGCAATTTCAAAATTAAGTTATTTTTCAATTACCTTGTGGGATCTTTCGTCTCAGACAAAATTTCTAGTAGCTCATCATTGGATAAGAAGAAAAATCTAGGAAAGAATAATCTCTTCTTCTCTAAATAATCATTAAGTCCTTTTTGAATTAAATCCAATAAATTGTTGCACTTTTTCAACCTTTCAGCCATCTTGTCGATCTCAGCAACAGCTAGTACCCTGGGATCGCTATATACGGTCTTCATTAGGTCCCTCCAGATCTAAATACATAATGTAGAGAAACCAAATACTATCTCAAAATGACCAAATTTAAAAATAAATTAAATAACGTACCTTATCAACCGCGCTAAACCTTCTTCCCTCCTCTGGCATTTGTTGTTGGATATCGGGTGAGGAAAATATGGGCTCCAAGTACATCCAAGTGGACTGAACCTTCAACCATTCGTCCATAATTTCTTGTAGCAATTGCAATTTTTGTTCCCAGGCTCTTTAAGTTTAAACAAATACTTATTAAGGACAAGATAAAGTATTTTAAACATTAAAAAGATTTTGTATAAGTCTCTTTGTTTATGTAAAAGTTTTAAAAGATATATGTGAGGCATTTACAACAAAAATTATAACTTGTGGTGTAACTAATTGGAAAATATATAACAAAAGGTTCCATTAAAAAAGTATAATGCTCAATAGAAGTGTAGCACAATTGAACATCACACAGGGTCTTGCTACAAGAAAAAGTTTGCTAAATTAGGCTATAAATACACTTACAATGTTTCTTTTTCGAATGGTTTGATGTATGGTGAATTTTTCATAGTCTGTGTTTTGACAATGTGGTCATCTAAAAGTACTTGAATGTCATCCACAGCTGAGATAATATATGTTCCCGTGTCTTTATACATCAAAACACTAAACTCAATATCTTCCCATTCGTGCAGCATCTAAACACAATATATTAAAATATCAATACAAGTAGATAGTAAGCCACTGTGGTTCACTTTGACCTTTGACTTCTGACGTCACAATCCCCGTCTACATTCATCTTTACTCCACGCTGAAGTCACTCATGCCAACTGTTTAAAATTTTTTAAAGCTCTTTAAGACCTGTTCGCTTGATCAAGACCTATTCGAGTCCTGATCAAAACCCGTTGAAGACCTGTTCGAGACTGATCAAAACCTGTTCGAGACGTGGTCAAGACCTGATCAAAACCTAATCAAGACCTGTTCGAGACCTGATCTAAAATTATTTAAAGGTTGATCGTATACCTACATTTTACGATGAATAAATCTTTTTGAATTATTTGTCTTTGTTTGAATTGTCTGAATTTACTTTGGATGTTTCTCCGTTTCGTTATAAGTTGTCTTTTCAAATCTTTATTCATCGAAAAATGTAGGTGTACGATCAATCTTTGAACAGCTTTAGATCAGGTCCCGAACAGATCTTGATCAGGTCTTGATCAGGTCTGGAACAGGTTTTGATCAGGTCACGAACAGGTCTTGATCAGGTCTTAAATAGGTCTTGATCAGGTATTGAACAGGTTTTGAACAGCTTTAACAAATTTTAAGGAGTTGGCATGACCGGATCGTGGAGTGGGGACGAATGTAGAAGGGGCTTGTAAAGTCAGAGATCAAAGGTCAAAGTGGAACAAAGTGGCTTACTATCTACTAATATTACATCAATTGAACAATCTTACCTTGGATAAATTCTTCTCCAAGTTATTTTCCTTTGTAGCTGCCTCAGATATGGCTTCGAATTTCTCGTAATAGTCATCCAATCCGTAATCGATAATTTTCTCCAGTGTTAGGTTTTCATCTACGGTTATGGGGAATCCCACGATTTCAGACACTTTTTCCCAATGGCGCTCCTTCATTCCGGGATTGCCTAAAGTTTGGATTATCGGCATATGCTCCTTAAATTCTTCTATTTGCTCCCTGACCTAAAATTAAACAAAATAAAATAAAAATATCATGTAAAAACAAAACATAACAAAACAAAATAAAGTACATGACAAAAACAAGATAAATTAACAAGAAACAATACAAAAAAAGATAATATGAGATAAGGCAAATCACGACAAAGCAATACAAAAACAAGATAAATAAAGATTCAAAAACTCTTTGATTTGCTTCGCTAACCTAAAACAACACAAAATGTAGCCAAAATAGGAACTGAAAGAAAAATAAGAGAAATGAAAGAAGAGAAAACCCAACCAGAAATAGTAACAAAACAAAATAACACAAAAACAAGATAAAACCATACAATAACAAGATAAAATAAGACCCTACAAACCAAATTTTGTCGATTTTGTACAAAAAATGTTCTAGGTAAATAAAACAAAATAAACTTACTGTAGTAGCCAATTCTAGGGTAGCTGGTTTCTCCGAAAAGATCTTTTCTAACTTATAAACGTTTCGATAATAAGTACCAACATCAGTCTCAATTTCATCTGGATCAAAACTGCCTACTCTGGACTTCATCCACAAGTCGTATTTATTTAAAAATTCTACCGAATTGTCGTACAACTTTTTATAAGGACTTAGTTTGTCGTGTATTTGTTTTCTCATGGGATACTGCGAAAGTTCGAAGCCAAAAGCAGCTTCTTCTTCATTAAAGCTATCGATTTTCTCCATGGCAGTGATGAGTCTAAAATTAGTCAATCGTAATGTTCTACAAACAGTTAAAGTTCCACGGCGGAACTAATAGAATGATTAGGTAAAAAGTATTTACCTTTCGTCAAGCTTTGTAGCTTTTTTATGGTACTTCGGAAGATCTTCAATGTTACCGTTGTGCTGTAATTCGTCCACCATTTTGGCGTATATTTCCAGTTCTTCATTAAACTTCTTGATTTTCTGTGCGAGGAGTTGTTGAAACTCTTCCATTTTCTGGTCCACCATTTGCCGGTGTTCTTCCAAGACTTTGGACATGTATAAGTACCTGAAAATATTCACTTAATTATATCAAATACAAAACAAAATTATATTTTCTGAGTGATCCTTACAACATTTGTCATAAATAGAGCTCGGGGAATTTATATATTTTGGATAAATTGTATAAGTGCACAAGCATTTATTAAAAGTGCATATTTTTAAATATACCACAATATAGACAAATATCTGGGAAGGCAAGTAGTGCAATTTAGTGAGGTAGGTAAAAATATCCCTCGCAAATATCCCTTATTAGTATTAGCATAATATAACAATCTGAACAGTAAAACGCGATGAGCCAGTTGCCGACATTAAATAAAATCATAAATCATCAATGAATGTGATTTTTCTCGAAAGCTTAACAAATAACAAATTAAGAGAATTTGTATTAGCAAAAGACAAAATGCAATCTATTCTGTCCATAGTTACAGTTAGTTCAGTTTGGTGTATTTTTTGGTTCAGTAAAGTTGAAAGTGGCAGTAAAAATGCCAAAAAAATATCAACCATATATTTTGCACAGTTTGCAACAAACAGGTAAGTATTATGTTTAATTTAATTATTGTTTTAACATAAACGGTGTAAACATGGTTTTGACACTGACTTTTTCGTCATAAACTAATACGTTATTTTTTTACGATAAAAATGTGACATTTTACTAAAACCTCTCATATTTTTGAAGAGAAATTCTACGGTCAAAACTCAAAAAATAGTTTATATAAGAGATACTTCGGGAAATAAGTTTTTTAAATTGTAACATGTAGTGTGCTTGATTAATGTTTTTTGGCCGTTTAAAATTGACTAAGAAAATCGCTCTTTGTCTTAATATATTGTATATAAAATTTTAATATAGGTGAAAATTTACTAAAATTGTACTTACCATTGAAACGCATTATTATTCAATTTCATTTCTACTGGGGTGAAGATGACATAGTCGGTCAAAAATAGAATATAATTCATGACATCTCTTAACTTATCCTCCAGGTCCAAGAGAGTAATAGCTTGTACATCAGCTACATACCGAATTGTAGCAATCAGTTCGTGAGTATCGTCAGGAATTGCTAATGCTTTGTCGGATATAGTTTGGTATTCATCACCAATGCTGTAAATTAGTTACTGTTAAAAATTTTAAACATTTAATGTGATATGTAAATGATTGATCTGCATAAAAGATAATGAAGAAAACTATAGGGATAAAAATATCAACGTACGACTCAAAATAATTCATAAGAAAATGAGGCCCAAGATAGATATAAGACTTCTTCTTCTTAACGTGCCCTTTCAAGTCTCCTTGACGTTGGCGATTAACATGGCGAAACTGTCTCTGTCTCGAGCTATTCTAAAGAGTTGCTCAGCTTTCCTTATTCCTGTCCACTCCCTGATATTCTTCAACCAAGAGGCCTGCTTTCTACCAATTCCTCTGCGTCCTTCGATTTTACCCATCATAATAAGTTGAAGAATATTATATCGGTCTCCTCTTACTACGTGTCTAAAATAGGCCATCTTTCTACATTTGATGTTATCAAGCAGCTCGCGAGCAGCATTTGTTCTCTCAAGGACTGCCACATTTATCAGCATAGCCGTCCATGGAATTTTTAGTATACGTCTGTGCAGCCACATTTAAGAGGCCTCCAGACGATTAATGGTGGATATTTTTAATGTCCATGCTTCGACACCGTATAAGAGGACTGACCAAATGTAGCATTTAACCATGCGCTTTCGAAGTTAAAGTTGCAAGTTATCATTAGAGAAGAATGACCTCATTTTTAAAAATGTCGTGCGGGCTATCTCGATTCTACATTTTATCTCTTGATCTGGATCTAGTTGTTCAGTAATATGGCAACCAACATAATTAAAACTGGAAACTGGACACTCTTTGAATTATATGACCAGGAATATATAATCGTGCATCTTGATGTGCTAAACGGCTAAATGCCATGTGTTTTTTTTTGAACAGTTTATGTTTAGGCCAAACTCTCTTCCCACTGTATCAATGGCATTTAAAAGGCATTGTAGTCCATTCATGTCATTACTTAAAATAACTGTATCGTCTGCATATCTGATTGTAATTATCAGAATTCCATTAACTTTCACGCCCCATTCCAAATTATGCAGCGCTTCTTTAAATATTTTATCTGCATATAAATTAAATAGCAGTGGGGATAGTATACAACCCTGTAGGACACCTCTTTGTATTATACATATTTCTGTTGATTTTCCGTTTATGCAAGCTGTCGCTGTTTGACGCCAGTATAACTTTTCTATAATTCGTATGTCTTGACTATCAACTCCTTTATCTTTTAAGATTGTAATTAATTTGTGATGCTGTACTCACATAAAGGCCTTTTCATAGTCAATAAATACAGCAAAGACGTATTTTCTTTGATCTCGACATTTCTGCAGTAATACATTTAGTGCAAAGAGGGCGGTCCGAGTTCCCAGTCCATTTCTGAAGCCAAATTGTGTTTCATCTTGGTCTTCTTCACATTTATCTCTGATTCTACTGTGGATGATGCGTAGAAATATTTTCAAAGTGTGGCTCATAAGGCTTATCATTCTATAATCGCTACAGTTTTTCGGCTTGACCAGTATTCCAATGTTCTCCTCATTTATAAGCTTTAACATCTCTGTCGGTATGTTATCAGGGCTAGCGGCTTTCTTGTTCTTTGCTAACTTTATAGTATGCAGTATTTCTGATTTTAGTATTTCTGGTCCTTCACCTTTAACTAAAGTCTCCAGTTCTTTGGGTCTATCATCATTATACAGTTCACTTATATAATTACACCAGGCTGTTCGAATTTCATGTTCGTCTATTATCATTTTTCCCGACGAATCGGTTATAATATGTGGAGTTTTCTTATGATAAAGACCAGCTACTTCTCTAACTTTTTTAAACATATTAAACGTATCATGTTTTTCATTCAACTCCTCTACTTCCTTGCATTTATCCTCCATCCATTTTTCTGTAGCCACCTTTATTTTTTGTTTAATTAGTTTCTGTTTTTCCTTATATTCTGTCTTGTTACCTTTCAGTTTCCTTCTCTGCTCCATTAATTCATCAGTCATCCATTGTTGTTTTTTGTTCCTGTGTAACGTTGTTGAATATTTTTTCTATTACTTTCAAGGTAAGATCTTTAAATGTGTTCTATATTTCTGTATTATTTTCATTTATTGGTTTCTTTAGCTCATTGTTTAAGTCATTTTCTATTAACGTTTTGTTGGATATTGAGATATTTAATTTTGGTGTTTTGGGGTTTTCTTGGACTTTTTTGAGCTTCACTTTGATGTCAGTTATTACAGGGTTATGATCTGAACCGATATCTGCACCAGGATATGTCGTTACTCTGGTGACGCCATTCTTAAATCTCTTGTTTACCAGAATATAGTCTATCTGATTTCTAGTCATATGTAGTGAATTATCTCCTGGTCCCCTCCAGATATTAGACTACTAAAAGAAAATGACACCCAGAAAAAAGTAAAAACCGAGATCAATAAGAATTTTGCGAAAATAGTTGAAGACACTACTAGAGGCATAGAAGAACAATGGAACGAAATGAAGACATCTATTACCAAAATTTCGCATGAATATCTAAAATCAAACAGAGAAAAGAAGCAAGAATGGATGGCAGATAAAATATTGCAAATGATAAAAGAGCGAAGAAAATTAAAAGGTAGAAATGACAACGAATACAAAAAGTAGCATGAGACTACACTAAAGGAGATAAAAGAAGCAAAAGAAACATGGCTGACGAAAAAATGTATGGAAGTTGAAACACTACAACGCAAACATGACGATTTCCACATGCACAAAAAAGTTAAATACGTACAGAATATCAGAAAACAACGCAATACAGGCTTAGTTGTAGACATTGAAGGCCAGATTTTTGACTATCATTGAAGATAAATTACGAAGATGGAAATAATATGCAAGAATTATTCGGAGATGCAGCACGAAGTCCGACTGAAATGAACAATCCTTACGGCTCAGAAATAACAAACGAATTAGTAACTATGGTCATTAAGCAGATTAAAGATGGGAAATTACCAGGACCTGATGAGGTGCATGATGAAATTTTAAAGCTATTAGAGGCGCACCAACTCACAGCTCTACGAAGCTGTTCAACAAAATCTACGAGACTGGTTACTTACCAAAAGACTGGCTACTATCAATATTTATTTCACTTCCTAAAAAAGCCAACGCTAGAAAATGTGAAGAACATAGATTAATTAGTTTGATGAGCCATGTACTTAAAATACTAATCACTATTATTTACTTGCGCATATACACCAAATTAGAAGAACACCTGAATGAAATTCAATTTGGATTCAGAGCAAGACTCTGCTGTGAATAGAATAAGAATAAATAAGATGCTTTAGAAGCATAGAAGCATTTAGAAGCATTAGAAAAATAAATAAACGTGTCGAATAGTGGTGAGAGAGACGAATTAACTCGAAACACAACCGTCTATATTTATTTTGTTTATCGTATGTATAACCCGACAAGCGAGAGCTGGCGGGTTGCGTGTAGAACAAATTGAAAAGTGGTAAGGATTGCTCATTTCTATTGCAGTCGGCTAGGAGTTCACATCGTGTATAACCGTTTAAGTACCTATACTATATACCTATAATCGCGATTAAGTACCTCTCCTATCTCTCTTAGAATAATTCCTTTTCTATTATCGCGTAGCTCACCCGCCAGCTCTCGCTTGTCGGATTATACTTGACTCACAGAGTACCAACATAATGGTGATTTACATGGATAAATTGTTGATGTACTAGTGGAATATAAATATTCCTAACATCGACCTAGAAGCTATATTGGCTTGGGATTACAGCTTACTTAAATCGCTATCGACACTGACTTTATTTTGAGTTCAGTCTTCTTACAAACCGTCCTGATAAAAGGTAAACTTTGAAACACGTGTAGAATAATGTTGAAAAATTCGAGTTTAATCGAAACACAACCATCTATATTTATTTTATTTAAGCAAAGAATACGAGAACCATATTTTTCTCAAAGCATTTCGTAGTTCGGATGAACCAAAACATTTTTGTTCAATCCTAAATAAATTTTTAAGCCACTTACATTTTAGTGAGTTGTTATATGTTCCCTACTCTTTTGTATGGTGTCTAAGGCTGGACTTTGATGGATACACTTCTAAAGAAACTGGAAGCCTTTGAAATCTGGGTGTACCGGAGAATCCTTCGAATAAGTTGGGTGGATAGAGTTCGTAACGAAGTTGTTTTGCATCAGGTGGGAAAAGTTACGGAAGTCGTCAAAACAGTTAAAAATCGCAAACTTGAATATTTTGGCCATGTTATGCGCCACCCAGAGATATATAATATACCCCATTTAATAATACAAGGCAAGGTAGACGGAAGAAGAGGGCCAGGTCGAAGAAGAACGTCATGGCTTAGAAATCTGAGAGATTAATTTAACAGATCATCTGCATCTCTTTTCCGAGCTGCCGTCAACAAAATTACTATAGCCAACTTGATAGCCAACGCTCGATAATCGAGCACGGCCCATGAAGAAGAAGAAGACTTACCTTTTACACAGTACCTGCAAATCTTTAATGCATTTTTGAAGTAACATGTCTTTGAAATTTTGAGCAGAAGCTTCCAAGGCTTTGATCAAGTCGTTTCGGTTCATGTCGTACATTTCAATACGAACATAGTGTTCGTTTGCCAAAGGAATTTTATCAACAATTGCCTAAAAAACCAATTACGGGTAAAGCAACTGTAAATAAAACAAAATATAAGCAGCGCGTTTACTAGAAAATTAATATATTGTCCCAGTTTACACTGCAACGTTGGACTTTTTTTCTCTTGTACTTTGTTTAGCCCTTTATTTTTAGTTTTTTTATTTATAGGACTATAATATTTCTTCTTTTAAAAGTGGTTATACTGTATAAGTTTTCTGTAGTTTTCTTGACCATTTTATGACTATTTTCTACAATGATTCGGTTTTGGTATACTGCTCCTCTATTTTGTATTTATTTGTAATTTTTTTGGCTACTAATAGTGTAGCATTTTTTCCTCCACCCTGTATAAAGTTTGGATTTTTGTTTTACAAATATTCGAAAGTAAACCACTTAATAATTCATCATCACATAGCGCTACAACCCTGGATGGGTCTTGGCTGACTGTACAACTTTTTTCCAATTTGTTCGGTCTTCCATCAACCTAGGGTCAAATGTAATGTTCATTTTCCGGAGATCTGCTTGGATGTTATCTCTCCAACGCATTCTGGGACGTCCGAGTGGTCTTTTGCCTGTGGGAATCTTCTCCCAACTTAATAATTGCATCTCAAAATCTTGGAATGAGAATAAACATAATCCAATTGTTTGTTTACATTAACAGATGCTTCTGGCAAATGCCTCTAAAAAGTGAGTTCTGCGCGCCGATCAGGCTATGCGCATGTAGAAGAGGCGACACTTTTCACCTCGCAGGATGGAAAAGAACTCAAACAGAGACTAAGGACCGGCCAGTAAAGTGCTGAGATTGTCCCGGTACTAGCGACGCCAGTAGTAAAGATCCCGCTACGATAGTTGGGTGCATCGTTGCTTGATATGGTTGTATAAATTAGCAAAGGGTTCCCATTGCAATCGTCTTCTGAAAAAACACTGCTTTGTCAGTATCTATCTATACAGCCCTAAACATCCATCCTTGGATATAGGCCTCCTCCTCCTTCTTCCATGCCTCTCTATCTTGGGCAATTTGCATCCATTTTGACCCGGTGTGCTTCTTCACGTCATCTGACCATCGCATTTGTGGCCTGCCCCTTTTTCGTTTGTGATTCCATGGTCTCCAATGTATAATTGTCTTAGTCCATCTTTCATCTTTCTGCCTTAGGGTGTGTCCGGCGAACTTCCATTTAAGCTTGGCTACTTGGGTTGAGAGATCTGTCACTTTTGTTTTATTACGGATCCATTCGTTTCTTTTTCTGTCTGATAGTTTAATGTTCAGCATTTGTCTTTCCATGGATCTTTCTGTCTTTGCTATTTTTTCCATATTTTCCTTTGTAAACGTCCATGTCTGAGAGCCATATGTGAGGACAGGGAGTATACATTGATTGAAGACTCTCATTTTTAGGTATTGGGGGTATTTTGAATTCTTTAGAATATAAGACAGTTTTCCGAATGATGCCCAGGCCAATCTTATTCTTCTCTTTATTTCTTCGGTCTGATTTTCTTTATTTAATTAAGTGATTTGGTCTAGATATATATACTCTTTTACTTGTTCTATTCTTGTTTGAACCACTGTAATTATTAGTTCTTCTGGTTGATTAGTCATGTAAGTTGTCAGTATAGGTCTTGGATTCCTAATTTGGTCTAGAACCAGTCCTGAGATACAGTTCATCCAGTTGTTCCTGGAAAGAAGAATCACTTATTGTTAAGCTCTTTTTTCTGTCGTGTTCTTCTTGGTCTTCTTGAAAAGAATTCGACAGACCAAGAAGAAGATATTCTGATTCCTGATCTTGCCCACTCGTTTAAGCTTATGATTCTGCATATTTTAAGATGTTTACATGATGAAAATTTGTGAGACTTTTTTTTACTTTTTACAGTAACGTGTTGATTTTTTTTTATATCGAAATGTTTAGTAGCAGCTTTTTAACGCTCACTATAAGCATCATATGATCTCATATGACTAACCGTGGTCTTATATGACTAACCTTAAATCACAAACCCAGTTTATAAACAATAAATCCCTGTGAGAGCCTTAAGAGCTTCTCAAGGATGAAGCTTCTCAAGCGGCAAGGAGGGTTTGAGTACTAGCTGTTGAAGATGCGCATCGACTTAACAAAAGCTCCAGCGCAGGCGCTAGACACTAAAGGCACAAATACAAATGTAGAGTGTATACAAAAGATCTTTTAGATTGCAGGGAAGTTGAACGATATACAATCTACATACAAACAAACAAAAGCACAATTAATAAACAGTTGGACTTACCTTGTACTTAAGGATCTCATTGGCCAACTCATCAAACGTGTGTTTTTGTGATAAAAATTCATTTATAAACTCCTCATCTTTTCCGTTAATTAAGGGCAGAAACTCATCAAAGTCTTGAACTCTTAGTTCGGGTCCAATCCGTTGTTCATCAAGCATGTATCTAATTTGGGCTTTGTACTGCAAAGCAAGTTCTTCTGGAAATATGGGCTAAAATATTTTAATTAATAATAAAATTTTATTAAAAATAAAGGATTTAACTTTAAAATAATTAATATAGACTTAAAATTCCGTGTACCTTTAAGTATCTTTCTTGGTCTGCCCAATCCAAGTACAATTTCGTCTCGAGTCTTGGAACATCGCCAACAGCGTCAATCATTATATCAATGAGTGCTACTAGTGTGTCACGAAAACTTTTAAATGACGGCTCAAACATTAAGCTGTTGCCTCTTTGCTGTAGTTTTATTTGGAACCCTTTATTGGCATACTAAAATATAAATAAACAGACTTTGGTAGCGTTATAATAAGACATTCGACAGTGATATAAAAGTTCATTGATCAAATTGAAAATGATAAATCAGGTGACTGGAAGACTATCAAAATACTGCAAAATACCATTTGCGGGATGTTTGCACAAGTATGACATTATTCACGAATTATTTTTTATACTACGTTTCCTTCCTACTGACAGAATCTAAATCGATTACCTTACACCATCTGTCCATACACCACCAACATACAACGAACAAAGACTCCTTGTGAATGCCAGAAAATGGTGGCCATCACCTTTTCGATGGACAGGACAGTCTTCACCTCCTTCGGAGCAAGTTCGACGGTTACCGCCACTGTTTCTTGGTCCCTGGTATATAGCAATGGATTTATGTTTCGTCAATAGTTACGAAACGACGTAGAAACTCCTTCGGATTACGCTTAAATAGTGTCTAACAGAGCTCTGAAGTGGTCTCACGGTTAAGCTTGCTGTTCGGAGTGAGCAAACGCGACAATCATCGCGCCGACAGCTTTCTCATGCAGACCAAAATTTCACGCAGAGTATAACATACTCGGTATTTTGAAACAGCTACTGTCTCAGCTATGAGTAAGATATCGTTAATTTTTGAGTCACCTGGGCGCAGCTAATCAAGAACCAATGTGCAACCTCGTCAAAACTCGTTAAACCAATTAAGGCTTGTAATCGAAGGTGAAAAGGCACCGTACACAACATCCAAGTGCTCTTTGATTTTGCTGTGTGATTTCCCTTGCAAAAACAAGAAACGAATTACTGACGGATATTGCTCTTTTTCCAATTTTTTTTTAATCCGTGGACACCCCCGCTTTCACATATGGTCAAAACAAAACTACAGTAGATTTCTCTTGATATAGTATAGTAGAAGCTAAGTACTTATCTGATCGACTAAGTATTTGAAATAATGGGAAAAGAGGATCTAAGTTGACTTATTCTATCTTAATGCAGAAGACAAATATACGTTGACACAGAAATGCTGGTGAATTTGTTGATATTTATATCTAGGAACAGATTTTCCTTAGAGTGCTCAGTTTAAGTCATTCTCCTGCAACTCCATTGCTTTTGTTAATAATATATTCTATTCTCTTATATTGCTATTAATTTTGTTAATAAAAGAAGAAGAAAAATAGATTAATCCTGCATCGGAGCAGAGTAAAAGGGCAGCAGGGCTACGGCTACGAGCACAAAACAGGTCATTTTCCAATGTAAATCTCCATAAGAAATTCTAAGGTCGATTCTGGTCATTTTTGTTTCTTTTTGTGGTGGAACTAAAACGGCTCGTCGAATCGTGACGTGTGAGGTATCGTTTTAAAGCGGTGGGGACGAGGAACACATTGAGATAGAAAACAATCGCAAAGACTGTGCCAAAACAGCGCTAGATCGTATCTCCATTGTTATTGGTCCGATTGTGACGTACGAGGGCTCGTTGTTACGGGGAGATGGTAGCGAATACATTAACACAAAAACAAACGTAAAATACAATGCCAAAAGGACACTAATCTTGTAACATCTAAACAACATGGTTCGCTGGAAAGAGGAGGTGGTAACGAATATGTTAACACAAAAAACAAACGCAAAAGACAATGCCAAAAGGACACTAAGCTTGTAACGTCTAAACAACTCAACGTATAACAATGTGTAAGATATCGATGAAAAGAGGGCGGGGCAACGAATACGTTAACACAAAAGACAATGCCAAAACAGCACTAAAGCATATCTTTGTTGTAATTGGTCAGATAGTGACGTATGAGATATCGATTGAAAGGGGAGGTGGTAACGAATATGTTGAGAGTAGACACTTCGGAAAAATTAGTAGACATGCTTGAGTGAGGTTATGTTATATCGATGAGCAGCTCCGAATGTCCACGCTGCTATGATTAATTGAATTATATTTAACAATTTTATAAGTAAATAAATAGTTATGTTTGTTAGTCTATGCTTCATTAAATACATAATTATTTCACAACCGCGAGATAAACAAAAAAATTAATTTTCTGATAGCACGATAAAATCAAGAAGTATACTTTACCCTAACGTCTAAAATGTACTTCATATAATCAGCTAACGAATTAAAACATAAAGTCTGTAGCTGATAAGTCATGATACTGGCGACCGCGTTATAAAAAGACTCCATTTTCTTTTTCTTCCCTGGATCTGGTAACCTGTTCTTCTTACTGCCTTGAAGAAAAATGTCTGTGACGGCATAGTAGTATTTGGAAAACAAATTATCTTTGCACGTCTCGATGTGTTTGTTTGTTACAAATTTGAACTCGCTCAACTCGAAAGCCCCTTGGTGGTTCTTTAGGGCTTCGATATCTAGAAGACGAAGATCTCTGGAAAATAGAAAAGCCATCTCAAAGAAATGTTCATATTTAACTTTGTCTACAGACTTTTAGAAATCAACGCAAAACGCCACTTACTTGAACTCCTTTTCCCAAATGTCTAATACAGCTGCTAAACACGGATTAATACAGTGCAAATTCCTGCTGATTTTCAATTGGGCTTTATTGAAAGCAGGCCTAAAGCTATTACCTATACTTTTCAGTTCTATTCTGGCTGGAGTCAAGTTTTCGCCAATGGCTTTGACGAACGCTGGATCTTGAAGGACGAAATCCACAATGGCTTTTTTTACGGCCAGCATAAATTCATCTTTTACCTCTTGGATAGATATTTCCAATGTTTTCTCCCATTTCCACAACCTCTTGGGTACTAGTGCCAAAACCTATTAACAAAGTATTGAAAGTTTTTCACCTTAACGGGTTCTTAATGGAAAACACATAAGTCATTTCTGCTTTCGGTGTAGCTTTCCAAAAAAAAAAAAGGGTAAAAACTCACTTTTTTAAATAAGAAATAGTTCATTTTTGCTTAAATAAAAAATGCATAAACCTATAAAAACTGATATATTTCAACAAAATTTAAGTAAAGGCGACTGTGCAGTCATTTAAAGTTAAATACAGTACATTCAACCAACTTACACCTGTAAACAATTAACGGAATTCGCAGAAAATCTTTTGTTGTAGTAAAAGGCACGGTAAACTGCACTGATGCTCCCCATAATATTTAACAATTTGCTAAATTTTAGGTATAAAATAAAAATATGTGTCATTAACCCGTTGTTTATAGTTTTTCACAATGATAATGCACCTTACCATTCGGAGATTTTGGAGAAACAACCAAAACAGTCGTAGACCGTAGCGAGCATACAAAATTGGTTAGTTAAAAGTAATATCAATTTTCCGTAAACGCTCTCAAATCAGATTTACTGAAAATTTCGAAACGTAATGAAAAACTAACAGTTTATATAGTTGACCAAATTGTATCAAGTTATGGACATCAAGTACTACGGTTACCGCCGAATCACTGCCAGTTTAATCTCATCAAACACATCTGAATATGAAAATGGTATGGTATGGTATATGAAAAACCTATTATGATAATCACGTTGAATGCAGTGACGATGCAGTTAGAGAAATGTGGCAAGAAGCTCTTAAAACTGCAACTCCAAAAATATGGGCCAAAACTGTAAATAAATGTAAAAATTAATAGAAGAGTGGTGGATCCGGGAAAATAAAATTGTGAAATTAATCCCGTGATTATAGATTTACATAATGATAGCGGGAGTGAATTTAGTAACGACAATGATGATTTCTAAATTTGAATAATCAGTAAGTTTACTATTATAATGTTATTTACAACATAATTGTACAGCAGGTTAACCATTATATTTATACATTCATTATTAGCCAAATAAACGATAATATTTAAAATTCCATTTGAATTTTTGCTCCTCATTTTATACAAATTAACTGGACTGATAATAGCGGGGTCCGAGTGTTTGCCAGGATAAGCAATCCACCATTTACTATCCAACGGCTTAGGACGGATGAACTAGTAAGTGGAAGGACACTCTGTTGTTCTGAGACTGAGAAATTGGTATCGAAGAAGGAAGAACCAAGAAAGTGGTCAACGGCATCGGAATGCAGAAGGCAACGAGAAACCACTGCTCCAGAGACATTATTGATTATGGTAATCGGAGACCAAAATCCGACAGGGGAGGACAACCATCAGAACTCAATGCCTCCTCGGTCGTCAACATGCGAAACCCTTGCACAAAAAACCAAAAAAAAATACTCAACCCTCTCAGATAAAAATAGCTACCTGGAATATAAGAAGTATATGTATCAGCCTGGAAAACTACATAGTGTTATTAAAGAGAAAGAGAGGCTAAATATAGATATACTTGGGGTTAGCGATGTACAATGAATCAGCGATGAACTGATCATCGATATGGAGTAGCTTGGTAGGTGTGATTCAAACGTCAGAAACAATAATATTGCTAAAAATTCAATCACGGAACTGCACGGAAGCACGGAAGTTTTATTTAGAATTGCACAATACAATCAAGATAATAAAATCTAGAGATATTACTTACATTTTAGGAGACTTGCAAAATTGGAGTAGATACAGTTGAAAATATAGTTGGGCAGTTCGAATTAGGAACTAGAAACGGGAGAAGAGAAAGGCTCATAAAATTCTGTCATTCTGTAAGTAACTAAAAAGATTATGGAGAACTCCAGTGCAGTTTACCGTGCCTTTTACCACAACGAAAAGTTTTCTGCAAATTCCATTAATCGTTTAGAGGTGTAAGTTGGTTGAATGTACTTACATGGTCTTAATATTTAAAAATGTTACCGCTTACCCTTACTAATACTTTTTCATCCAAGGGCGCAACATGTACCGTATCTACACCGTGTTTAATATAGTAATAGTATCGTAACATTTCCCTGTCTTCTGCATTTGGCAATTCATCATCGATGGACATTGCCCTGTCGGCATCTGTTCCAACTATTAACTTCACTAGCCTGTTTCTGTATTCTTCCCTTTGTTTTCTTAACAATGTGTATGATTTGATTCTAGACTGTTGTTCAGCCGCTAAAAGAATGAAACAAAATAAAAAATCAAGATGTAAAATATACTTAATACGCTGATAGTCTCATTATGTACCTTTTTTCTTTTCGGCTGCAAACTGCTTTTTATATTTTGGATGTGCAGAAGCCAAAATTGGCTTAAGCAGTTCTGGAGGTAGAGAAAATAACGATCGGTCATGTATGTTAAAATCTGATGGCAGTGATAATCGTGGAATTTTTATATTAAGATCACCACGAGCTTCCAATTTCGCTCTCTTCTCTGTAATGCGTTTGATCAAACGATCTCTTTCCACGTCTCTGGACGCCATACCTGAAAAAATCTATCAAAAAAGTCTTATCCCTATATTTATCCTAGTACTTTGTACCTATTTGTTCTAATATTTAAATAATTTTATTTATTGGTAATATATATTGCTGGAAAACAGTATATTGATTTTTGTGAATATATTCAAGTGATTAAATTTGTTCTTATTCAAAAGAACAATTATTTTGCTAGAATATTATTTAACATATCTGATCGCTAATTTTAGTTGATGCTGTGTAATAACAATTAATTACACTGTTTTATTATTTGTTATATTTAAATCTTTAAATTGAAATGACGTCACGAGGTTTAGACTGAAGTTTTCGAATAAATCGAAAAATTGTATGAAACGACAAACGTCAACTATATGTCATATTGTCATATGAAAATTACCAAAAAATATTTTAATACCGGGGGTATAGGTTAGTTTTACTTTAAATTTAAGAAAAATTAAAATATAAAATGGTAAGTATACGTACCTGCAATTGTATAGATTTCTAACGACCCATTTCTTCAGGCAAATACTTTCATTCACAATCTTCTTCAAATAGATTCTGACTTTAGTTGTAGAACCCTTTAAATATGTATTTTCCATGGAAACGGTAAGCAGAGGTAAAATCAATCATTCTGCTTACATGACATGAGTTCCCTCAAAAATTTTCGTATTCTAGTACGTAACAACAGATTAGAGATTGTCAACGACAATTATCAATTTTCAAATAAGTTTTCCTCCTATGTTCAGCATGGGACTACTCTAATACTGACTTTTTATTTAATTTTGCAGTTATTCTTTAGAAGTGTAAGGCATCTGTATCTAACCAAACGCAATTTTGCTGCAGAAAAATCACTATTGGCTACTCTGCGGAAAAAAACAGGTAAGGAATATTTAATATGTACTGTAGAAACTAGGAATATAGACACATACATAGAAGGTTTGTGTAGATTATGTTCACCATTGTGTTTTTATTAATAACTGAAATAAGGGTTTTTTGGTTGATATTTGTGAAGAAAAGGAACATGTTTTGATCTAGATTTTCTCATCATTTATCTTCCCATTTATATCATCTGTATGAAAAAAAAGTGATTTCAGTCACCACAGCATTCCTATTGTTTATTCACTATAATACTAATAGGTGAGTCTGTAATATATAATAGATTAAGTCATTTATAGACTGTATATAATAGCATTCATCTTTTGAGGCAGGAACTTAACCTAGAAAATAATCATTGAAATGATCAGGTTACAGTTATATCAAAGAATATGTATGCATAATGGTCCAAATCCTTTTTTATATATTTATTTTTTTTTGTGCATTATTTATAAGATTTATAGTCTGGCTGTTTTTGTAACTGCAGATTATGCCTTGTTAATTTGTTTAGCTTTATTTAATATTTTCTTAAAAAATGAGTCAATTTTCTTCGAAATATAATTCATTCTGTGATAAAATCGATCAATTTGTGATAAAACTAAGAATAATATATTGATATGAATAAAAAGGTCTGAACGTAAAATGATATAAATTCTTTAAGAATTTTGTGGAAAACATAATTTTTTATTGTATTATTTTCTAATACTTTTAGTATTTAAAAATATATCATATTTTTTCAGGTTACACCTTCGCAAATTGTAAAAAAGCTCTAGAAATGCACAACAACAATTTAGTAGAAGCAGAACAATGGCTGAAACAACAAGCCCAAGCTCTAGGCTGGTCCAAAGCTACCAAATTAGAAGGGAGACAGACTACACAAGGACTTATTGGAGTGGCAATAGAAAATAACGCTGGAGTATTGGTTGAAGTGAATTGTGAGACAGATTTCGTTGCTAGAAATAAAGAGTTTCACAGTATGGTTGAGGAAACAGCCAGAAGTTGTTTGCAATTTGCCAAAAATCATGAGAAGTCAGCAAATCAGATTAATACAAAGGTGAGGGCAACTAAATGATGTTTTTATTAATATTTGCATGTGTATCAAAAATATCTAAATACTACTATTCTGTATGTTTAGATTTGTTTGGACAGTGAGCAGCTGAAGAATTTGAAGGCAACTGATGGTAAAAGTCTAGCTGATAGACTAGCTCTTATGATTGGAACTGTAGGAGAGAATGCTAGTTTGAAGAGAGCCTTGTGTATTAGAGCAGGAGATGGGATTCACCTAACAGGTATTTTCTTCTTATTATTTGAGTACCTTGCCCACGTTTTAGGCGTGGTTAGCTTCTATGACTATTTGCCAATATCATTCTCGATCTTGCGCGCATGTAATAATTCATTTGCTGATAAGCCAGTCCTTTGATGAAGGTTTCGGAGCCATGAATATTTTTTCCTACCAATTTCTATTTTTCTGACAATCTTTCTGTTGAGTATCTTCATCTTCTTCTGGTAGCACTAGAACAAGGGGTGGGTCTTGGCTGACTGCACAACCTGCTTCCATCTCGAACGGTCGTCCATGATGTTGAGTATCGGCAACTGCATTATCCTGTATCTGCTGTCTCTCATTATATGCCCCAAATATTCAAGTTTTCTCTTTTTATCATATTTATTAAGTCACCTTCACCTTGACCTACTCTGTTCAGGACTTCTCTGTTTGAAATGTGTTAAACCCATGATATTCTGAGCATTCTGCGATATAACCACATCTCGAATACTTCTAATTTGTTCATCATGTTAACCTTCATAATCACATTCATACAGTAGTATATGATACAGCATTTTAGGAACTTAATTCTCAGCTGTAAGTTCAGCTGAGAATTGTTCAGAATAGCTATGTTTCATAAATGTTCCTCTTGCAATATGAGTATTTACTATGTTCATCTTGCAAGTATTTACAATAACAGTAAATTGTGTGAAATTGTCGTTTAGATAGTGTGATATGATATATCACATGGCGTTTTGACCATTTTTATATTATTCTTTTTATAAATAAGGGTGATATGGAATGTATTCCACAAGATTCATCATCAAATAACCAAATTTATTGTAAAAGTTTATTATGTACCTTATAAGAAACAGTCTAATTGTGGGTGAAACCTCAAAATAAAAGCAGAAACTAAAAGTACTAAAACTAGTTTTTTAATATAATGAGTAAATAATATTATAATAAATTAAAATAATAAAATGAAAGCAAAAAGTAATAAAGTAAGATAACAATTTTTCATTCTAGTCAAAAACAACCAAAACTGTTGTAAAACTTACTTATGTGCTATTATGAAAATTTCTAGCCTTTACTAAACACAATATAAAAGAACATTTTGAACATGACCAGTGTGTCTCTCCTGATTTGCAATATCTACACCTGTCTTTGGTATCATAAATAGGAAAATGATGAACTTTCAAATCGTATTTCCTCTGATGGTCTCGGTAGAACATACTTTTTAATTTCTTTATTTCGCTTGGAAAGACTCTATTATTTTTTCTGCCCTTTGCGGTTAGAGCCTCTGCTGTGCACTGTCTAAAATATTTGAGAGTATATCTTTCATGTGTTGTAAATTATTTTTATCCCTTGTATACAGAATCCATGTGTTGTTTATACAAACATCTAGTATTTACGCAAATATGGAGAGGTACCAGTGACGATTTTGTGTAGAGGTACCAGTGAGGCTTACCAGCATGTACTCAACCAATGTGAGGATTGTAGTGTTTTATGAGACAGGGGATTTCAATTTTTGCTTGCTGACTTTTATCATACTTTTTAATTGTTTGGACAGGTGTAGAAGATATATAAATATGTACTAGCTAGGACAACATGTTTGTTGTCAAATCAGTTCACAACATTTATTTTAATAATGTTGTCACTTCTTGAACAAAACGAACCTCTTCCATTTTTCTTCAGAGAGTTATTATCTTCTAAAACACAATTTTTTAATCGATCCTTTCTCATTTCCCCAGGGATAAAGTTCCATAATCATGGAGAAGAATGTAAAAGAAATCAACACTTGAAAAGAAAATTATGGACATGGATAACTAGAGCACTGCTGATTTAATTGACTGTTTTAGAGCAAGAACAATTTAAGCCCCTATCAATCCTAAGGATTCTTCTTTTTGTGAAAAAGTATGCTGCCTAAAAGTTTCATCCCTCCCATAAACTATGAAATCGTACACAAACCCTGAAATGCAGGCTCTAACAAATAATATTTTAAAACCCCATTTTTTTGGTTTTGATTTTATGTACTGTTGTCGTGAACCAGCCTTTTTCCCTTTACAAGGGACCATCATCTCGTCGATACTCTGGCGTTTTTCTTCTGTAATACAATTTCTTCTCACTATGTCCAAAACTGGGCGAATTCGGTAGTAAATCGTTGTTTATATAATCGTTATTAGCTGTTCAATTACAAATTAATCCCTTAATTTGTAATCTCACATTATTTTTAACTTCTTAATATTTTATAGTTTCACCGTGTATAATTCAAACATTGTGAAAACATATCATATAATATTTTAATAATTACTTAATAATTTACCTTACCTACAACTTAATAAATTGCTGAATAATATATTTTCCAATTGAACTTCCAAAGTGTTGCAATTATGGCCTAGATTAATTTGTATTGTAAGCTCATAGTTCAAAGTTTGTTAGTATGATAGTGCTGAGGTATACATTATTTGTGAGAATATAAATTGGGGATTTGAGCTCATGTGAGCTCAGTCTATTATAGATAGTTACCTAACCAACATCATATAGGGTAATTAGTAGTAGCTGTTAATAACCCCAACATTTTTTCTCCACAACTTCATCGTTTTATTGTATTTATCATTGTCGATCGAGAAGAAGCGGACAAAGGGGTATTATAAAACGATTCGACCCTCATATCTACATTCGAATCTGTCCATTAGCGAAGTGAATATACCGGAGTATTTTCTGATATTGTTTAAGAGGCATTATTTCTGATATTTGATTGTATCTGAAGTTTATACTCCAGTAGTCCAAGTATAATGGTATAGCTAATATACCCATCAATATCTGTATCGGTATGAAGTCACTTATCTCATCTTTAGTAACATCGACTTGCCTATTTGCTGAACGGAATAAAGGTTTGTATTGTTGACAATCAACTCCAATAGATCGTCTGAAAAAATATTTTGAAATAAGTATTCTAATGATGACTTGAATTTGTCTACCACAGGATATTGAAATTCTTCTTTCGTCCAGTGGTATTCAACCAAATTCTGTTGTTTCATGCGTTTACTTTGTAGTTTGCCGTTAGGTTGGTTAATAGTCGTTAATCTCTTTAAATGGGCCAGGTATCTGATATTATTATCGTGTTTTTAGAGGACTCAAAGCAGATTTAGGTATACTGCAAATAGATTTAGACATACTATAAGCAGATTGATGTGTTTATATATCTAATTTTAAATGTTCAGTTTCAGATACTGAATCTGTATCTGATAATGTATCAAAAATCTCTTAAACTTTCGATTTCAGAACTTTCATCAGTTTCAGAACGTTGAGTTCTAAATGGTTTGGCATAACTTTTATTTTCTTCAACCATCGAATCATCCACATATCATAATCATCCATGAAGGTGGTAGAAGTAATACCAAAAGTTTTTTGGACCTTGATGATGTTATATTGGTATTTCGCTGAAACCAAA